AAGAGTTCTTACAAGTTTAAGAATTTAAAAAATAAGGTTGTTTTTTTAAAGGTTATGTTAAATAAACAAAAGTCTTTTTTTTTGTTAAAAAAAGAAAAAAAAAAGATTGGAAAATTGATTTTCAGTATAGCTATAATTAATTATGCAACTGTAATTAATCATCAAATTAAAACTTTTTATATTATTTCACATACAATTTTTTTTACAGAAAAAGCAAAAGAAAAATAAAAAAATCGAATCCAAATCTCTAACCAGATTGGAGATAAGTTTTAATGCAATAATTTAATTAGAAACTTTTTTTTTATTTTAAAAAAAAATACTAACATTAATTTACCTTGTAGACTGATCAAAAATTTCTAACCTTGGAACCTTTAGGTGAAGGTAAGTTCTAATGCAATAATTAAATTAGATTTTTTTTTATTTTTTAAAAAAAATACTAATATTAACTTACCTTGTAGACTGATCTGGAACCTCTAACCTTGGAATCTTTAAATTGCATGTAAATCCTAATATAATAATTTTAATCAAATTTTTTTTTATTTTTTTAAAAAAATACTAATATTAACTTACCTTGTAGACTGATTCAAAACCTCTAACCTTGGAACTTTTGGGTGAAAGTAAGTCCTAATACAATAATTTAATTAGATTTTTTTTTATTTTTTAAAAAAAATACTAACATTAATTTACCTTATAGACCAATCCGAAACTTTTAACCTTAGAATCTTTGGGTTGTAGGTAAGTCTAATGCAATAAGTTAATCAAATTTTTTTTATTTTTTTAAAAAAATACTAACATTAACTTACCTTGTAGATTGATCTAGAACTTCTAAACTTAGAACCTTTGGATGGTGGTAAGTCCTAATACAATAATTTAATTATATTTTTTTTTTATTTTTTAAAAAAAATACTAAATATTAACTTATCTTATAGACCAATCCCTGAACCTCTAACCTTGAAACCTTTGGGTGTAGGTAAATCCTAATAAAATAATTTTTTAATTAAATATTTTTTTTTAAAATTTTTAAAAAACTTAACACAAAGTTATCTTATAGAATAATCTGATACTTATAAAAAGGAAAGAGATAATTAATTGTTAATGAAAATTGGAAAATTTCTTTTTGATTAAATTGATGAATTAAAATATATGCTGATCTAGTAAATCTTAACTAATAAAATATTATTTTATTTTTTATTTCAGAAACAAATTAGCTCAAAATTTTTCCTTTCACAATACTTTATTTCTTAAATAGTAGTTGATAAAAGGTTAAAGGTTAAAGTATTATTACTTTAGTTAGACGTGCTACAAATTAAGCATTTATTATTTAATTATAATATAATTTATATATTATTTTTAATAAATTTCATTGATTTATTGTATTTCAATAAATATTCTTACATATTTTATCAAACATAATAAAAATTCAGGAGTGGTCATTTATGGCTTAGGGTCTAACCATTCCCTTTCTTTCAAGTTTTAAACTTGATAAATCCAAATTGAATTATTTTGATTATGTTGATATGTTGATTTTTTTAAGTTACATTATTTAGGATTATGAAGTAAAATATTCATAACAATGCTACTTATTTGGTGAAGTTAAATTAATAGTTTTGCAATTGCAATTTAATTTACATTTTTTTCCTAAGCAATTCTTACTACCTCTACATGGTGTTTAGGGTTAACAATTATAGATTATCCTATATCTGGCTAAATGCAAGTATATATATTTATTAAAAATTTAATCATTTCATATTATGCATTGTATTATTTCATATTATACATTACAATACATTGTATTGCATTACATTATATTATTGTTTTATATTATACATTGTATTACATTATTTGTTTCATATATTTTTTATATATATTTATATATAAAAGGAGTTTAAATGGAATTTTCAGATTGATCAACATGTATAAATACTAAATAAAAAATATAAAAACTGATTTGCATCTGCTTGACAATTGATAAATAATATTTACCTAAATAAGATAAGATTTAGTATTTATTTGGTTAAATAATTAATTTATGCATCTTTATAATGTATATTTGCATCGATCAAATCTGATCAAAATGATAAAAAAAAAATAATAAATAAAATAGAATAAATCAATTTATTTTTTCTTTTTTTTTAAATTTTTTTTAAATTTTTTTTAAAACGATAAATTTATTATTATAATAATATAATTTATTTCTTTTATAAATTATAAATTTTTTGTAAAATTATTAAATGTAATTTTTAATATAATGCAAGTATACATATATGTATACTTATAACTTAAAATAATATATTTAATTTTTTAATTTTTGATTTTTTAATTTTTAATTTTTATACATATAATAATTTATAGCATTTATTATAGCAAATAAATTGTAGTTAGATATGCTAAATATGGAAAAATGACACTAATCACAATGTCATATTAAATCAAATTTGAATATAAAAGGTTGATCTAGAATTTAATTGGTATGTTGAATTAATTTCTCGTAAAATTTTTTCTTTTAACAAATATCTAAATAATATCTGAAAAATATAAACAACCAAATGAAATTATATAATTAGATTTTGACAATGATAACTTAAGTTCTACTTCCTCTAGTATATCAAAAGAAAAGAGAAGTGATGTATGGAATCATTTTGATAAATTTAAAGATGATAAAGGAATTTTAAGAGCAAAATATCGATATTGTGATAAAGGTGTATATAATATGAGTAGTTCAAATTCTTCAACTGGAAACTTATTCAAATATCTTAAAAGTTATCCAGACAAAACAACCTCTTCAGTTAATAAATAAGCAAATTTTATGATTAAATTTTTAAATAAAGATTCAAATATGGTAAGTATATATAAAATTTTTATTCTTTTTTATTAATAAATCAATTTAATTATAGTATTTAAACATTTTTATAGATATTTTCTGAATTACATGGATTGTAACAGATGATCAACCATTTATAGTAGTTGAATGTCCAGAATTTCAGGATTTATTAAATTACTGTAATTCAATAGTATGTTTACCGTCAGCTGATATAATTAAAAATTATATTTTAAAATTATTTAAAGAATATCGAGAAAAGATTCAAATAATTTTACAGGTTAGTAATAAAATTTTTAAAAAATTTGTTTAAAATAATAATACTATTTTATTAAAAATAAACTTTTAATTTAATTTGTTTTAAATTATTTTTAAATTAAAAGAATATTCCAGGCAAATTAAATTTTACTATAGATGGATGGACTTCACCAAATATAATTAGTTTTTTAGGTATAATATGTCATTATATTGATGCTGATTGGAAAGTTCAAGATGTACTTCTTGATTTTATTAGTTTTACAGGCTCACATTCAGGAGAAAATATAGCAAATGCTTTTTCTCAAAATCTTCAAGAGATGAACATATGGGTCCTTTGCAATAGAAAGAGGGGAAACTACCTTATAGTAGTTTTTGAGATAAATCAGTTTTTGTGAAATAAACAAAGGAGGTGAGGTGATA